CCGTTTTTTCATATTCAACCGCAAGAAAGTTGAAAATTTTAAATGGAACGCCCCATATTTTATTAGCCTACCCGAAAGGGAATTTAATTCTCTACAATTTATCTATAAACTTTCCTATACCTATTTATTGTGGTTTCTCTCATATTGGAAAATTTATCGAAACATGCAGGAAACATTTTGATAGTTTTTCGTTTAATTTATTTCTATTATAATTTGCACTATTAACGACTGATCTTTTAGTTTACTAGCTTTTACTTACCAAAAATAATAAACAGAAGATCAAATAAATAATAATAATAATACTTTATTCAAAAACGTAACCTTATTATACAGGGTGATTCACATAAGAACCGACACAGAGCAGGGACATGTAGAGGACAATAAATTAAGATGATTTAACGTAACTTATCTCTATACTAAGTTGTACACCTGAGGAGTTATAGGCCTTCAAAGTTGCCTCTTAAATTTTTAAAAAGTTCAATATCTTATAAGATACACGTAATACATTAAGCTAGAAAAACCAATTTCATTTTATTCAAAAAATAAAAAGCTCATTAAATTGAGTTCATGAAACTGCAATTCTTTCCCTATTTAATCGTCTCTCTATCTCCGCTAGTTTTCAAGATTTTTTTTCATGTTTAGTATAGAGATACTAAACATGAAAAAAAACTCACCCTGTATAATGCATTACTTCCTCTAATACTATCATGAACTGTTTTATATTACCTCCAGGCGAACGGTAAAGTGATACAAAAATTGAGTTTACTTGTGAAATAACAATCGAACAACCTTCTAAGCATTTTTTGATATTGTATTTCTCTACGTTTATTGTTGCTGTTTTATATCTGTTATTTGCAACTATTAGTACTGCTCCCCTTATGTATGTTTTTCTGCAACTATACGGAGCCACGTTATAATTAGGTAAATGTACTATTGTTATCTCTTTTGCTTTCTGCCAGTGTTCAGTTATACTGATTATATCTATATCGCGTATTTCGTTAGCTAGTAAGTATTCTAGTTGGTTTCTTTTTTGTGATAATCCTTGTATGTTAATGTTTATTATTTGCAATTGTTTTGGTTTTTTGTAGCTTATTGTATGCGTTTTTCTTTTCTTATTTTGAGTAATAATTAAGTCTCCTGTCTCTTCTTGTAAATTCATTCTAAAAAACGATTTACTCGTATTCTAGATGGCCATAATCGGGTTGTTTTGTTTTCTCTAGGTAATCATTTGATACTGAAATTTTAAAAGAGGCATATTCATCCGGTCTTTTAACCGAAATTTTTTCGCATTTTATATTATTAATATTTTTTGCTCGTAAATATTCCTCGACTTCTTTCTCTGTTGTGGTCGGTTGTAAAATAAACCACAGACGTGCAAATGAGCATACTGTATAATTCCTTTTAACCCTTTGTGTCCCGACGATACTTTAAAGTACCGGTGGTTTTAAACACTCATTTTGAACTGTAGCCATCTATTCGGCGCATTTAGAGTCGTCATTTAGACTCTACTATACAAGAAAGAATCAGTATACAAAATGACACAATCCGCACTGTAGAGGTTTTAGGTATATTTAAACTTATTCGTCCAGATGTGAGGTTAGAAGTTTAGTGAAAAGTGGTGTTGTTGAATTTTGTTGTTCAAAAAGGTACTCTTTGATAAATGGTTATTAGCTGTGATTATTACATATCATTTTGGCACTTTTAGGTTATACGAAAATGTAAGTTTTATTTCAACATTTTTTTTCTCAATATTTTTCCAATCCAACCCGACAATTATTATACATCATTTTAAAGAGAAAGCTTTGAGCTTTAATTTAGAACAAGTCTCATTCCTTAATTTCAATAAATACGGCTTCCAGGAATTTTTAAATTAGCATCTTTTTTGACACTTTTAGGTTATACAAAAGTTTAAGTTTTGTTTCAACTTTTTTTTTTTCAATATTTTTCCAACCCAACCCAACGATTATTATATATCGATTTAAACAGAAAGCTTTAAGCTTCAATTTAAAATAAGTTTCATTTCTTAATTTCAATAAACACGGCTTCCATGAATTTTTGAATTAGTATCTTTTTTGACACTTAGATTATGCGAAAATATTAGTTTTTACTCAATATTCTATCAGATTTTCGTCGTTCTGTAGCTGCAGGTCTGATAAATAAATATTCAAATTTACTGCGTCCACGAAAATGTCGTAGCGCAAATTCAAAAGAAAGAGGAAGTTGCGAAAACTGTTCTGCCAAATTACCATTATCCCCCTGGAATTGGGGGGATTGCATATTTCGCCAAAATTGATTCCAAAAGCCTTTACTGAACGTATTTTAATAGCGTTTTAATTCTGTCACAATGAATGAACAACCCATGCTACCAAAATTTCAAATCTCTACGAATAGAGATCCTGAAAAAGTTCTAACGAACCAGTTACGTGAGACATCCCATCATGTATATTGGTATTAAATTTATTAATTAAATTTGTAGAGATCATCGTACAGTTTATGTTGGAGATGCAAGAGGGCGAGTTTTTTCTTGGAGTGTTTGCGAAGTTCCCGGTCGAGCGGCTGATCATTGGTTAAGAGACGAAGGAGCCGATTTTTGTGCAGGTTGCAACATTCGATTTACAATTTACGAACGAAAACATCACTGTCGTAATTGCGGCGAAGTTTTTTGTTCGAAATGTAGCCGCTTTGAAAGCGAAATATCCCGATTAAGAATCCTTAAACCCGTCAGAGTATGCCAAAGATGTTATGCGTCATTAAAACCAGATAAGTAAAAAACGAAAAATGACCTATTAAGAAATTAAGAAACCTCTTCTGGGTATAAACATCAAATCCGGGTATAAATGTAATTAAGCACAGAGATAAATGTGTAGAGAATCCTTTAAAGAAAATTTAAAAAAAAAATAATAAACATGAATAACGTAGAATAGAAGGGATAAATTTTGTGAAAAAAAAAAAGGTAAGTTTTTGATTTTTTTTTTAATTGACAGATTTGATCGAAATCTAATGAAAAACAAAAAAAAAATAAATTAAACAAGTCTGTGCCATATACTTCTTAACCATGACAATCTTTTGATTTCCCCAATTTTTCTTGTATACGTATTTTTTGGGTCTAATACATATTTATGACGATTCATCTCAGTTTATAACTAAAAAATTACATTTTCCAAAATTAATTTAAAAGCAAAAATGTATAAACCAATAGATAAAGTTAAAAAATAATAGAGTTACACCAATAGATGATAGTGTTAATTGATAATAAGTGAAAATAACAATACAAAATAACCAGAGTTAACAAACAAAAAAAAATAATAAATTATCTCCTGAGATATAATTGTTGTAATATTGCAAAATGATAATATTATATATTGATTTAATTCTTGTTAATTTATACAATTTTGATTTTATTAGCTAATTTTTTATAGATGTGTTTTTCTGCAAGGTATTTTATTAACCTGTATTAATTATTATTGTTTTTTTTTATTATTTTAATTTATTAATTTATCTGTTTTTACAATTTTTTAAGTGTTTAAACTTTTTTAACTTAATACAAATATATGGAATAATTAAGAAATTAATAAAAAGAAAAAAATCCGGAATGAAATTTTTTGTGCTTGTGCAATGTTTGTAAATTTTAATGGTTAGTCGTATGTAAATACTCAATTAAAAAAGAAATCGTAATGAGAAAACAATTTATTAAAAAAAATGTTGAGGGTTGAATAAAGTATTAAAAAAATGGTATTACTTATTCAATATTCCTTTTTGATCATTTATAATCGATTTGATTTCTATTGATATTAATTTTACAATAATTTAATGTCATGCACAGGCGATACGGTAGACAATATCCAAAATGAAAAAATATTAAAAAAAAATTTATGATAAAAAAATAAGAACCTCGTACTATTGTACGATTCCAAAGTATATTTCCGTATATTTTGTAATTATATGTGATACTTGTAGAGTGTAGAATTTAGTCGAAAATTGTATATAAATATATATACATATAAAATAACTCTATATATGAACGTATTGACATTTAATAAAGCAGAATCCCTGAAAAGACTTCTTTTTTTAAAGAACCTAAAACGAAGTATCATAACTTTAAATATTTATTTCCAATTCCTTCCATTTTGAGTCCTTAAATGAAAATCCACAATTGTAGTAACAACGACAAACGTATTTGACTGTAAATTCCTAAACTGAAGTTTCAATATCATCTCTGTGGTTATAGAATAAATAATGAATGATTAATTAGGGATGGCACGATCAGCTGACAAAACTGGCCAGATCAATACACAACTAATTCATTGTAAATAAAATTTATGTATTATACAAGCTGATTTATTAGCTCACCTAAAACTTTGACATGATAGTTAATCCAATTACAAAAAAAAAATGTTAACGAACATATTATATCCTATTTCAATCATTTACGAAATTTGATTTAACTGCTACATTTTTTTAAAACACATAAATATTATAAATATTGTTCAAAATAGCCTCCTTCTGCTAGAATACATGCTTCACAACGACGAATTAAAGAGTTCTTCAGCCGAATTAAAATGTCTGGTTGATTTCTTATTTCAGTAGCAGCCATTTGTATTCTGTTTAATAACTGTTCTCGATTGTTAATTTTCACTTGATACACAATTTGTTTCATTTGACCTCATAAGTAGAAATCCAATGGATTAAGGTCGGGGGATCTAGGTGGCCAAGCAAATGGATCATTATTACCAATCCACTTGTTTGGAAAATATTGGTTTAACCAATCGATAACTACTCTTCCGTGATGAGGTGGGTAGCACATATTTTGAATTACATTGAGAGGTATATCTCCAAGTAAATCAAAAAGTGTATTGTTCAAAAAAAATCTGTAATTGACAGTGTTCAAACGTCCATCAAGTACATGCAAACCTAGTAAATTGTTGTTAAATATTCCACCCCAAACGTTGATGCTGAAACGTTATTGAAATTTCCTTGGTCTAATCGCATGCGGATTTTGTAATGCCCAAATATGTTCATTATGCTAGTTATTTATACCATCTCGTGTAAAACATGATTCATCTGTCCAGAAAACATTTGAAATGAAGTCATTATTTTGGGCATGTTACTGCAATCTCCTACAGCCAATCTCTCCTGGCTGTAGAGCTTGAACATTCTGTTTACGATACAGATGAAGGGCTTCGCGGTTCTCCGCGAAATTGAAAAGCTCCCGCAACTCATCATAATGTTTTCCCTCTCCCATTTATTTGTTATTCAATGTCCTTTAATACTTATGAAACTATTATTGTTTTTAGATCATGTCCAAATATCAAAAAGTTCAATATCTTCATAATACATTAAGCTAGAAAAACCAAATTTGGTATACGTTATGAGTGTACCAAGGGTATTAATTGGTAGCAAGTTGAGACCAATTGAGGCATTTCAAAGGGTTGATTAAGGGTGATGGTCCCCTAAATTTTGACAGATGTTTTTAACCTTCTAGTTGATTTAGTACATTATTACCTCATTTCATGTGGAATTTAATTCCAAAACTTTTTTACTCTTATTTTTTTTAAAAACATTGTCGTTTTCATAAAAAACTCAAATAACTAATGACACATTTTGTTAATGCTACTTAAAATCACCGAAAATTCAGTAGTCGGCTGTGAAATTGTACGTCAAACTTGACAAATAGGTTATAAATCTTGTTGCCAAATAACTTTGTAACCAATAAATAAATATATTTGACGTACAATTTCATAGCCCACTACTGAATTTTCGCTTATTTTAAGTAACATTACGAAATACGTGTCTTTAGTTTTTAAAGTTTTTTATGAAAATGACAAAGTTTTTTAAAAAATAATAAGAGTAAGAAATGTTTTAGAATTAAATCGAATGGTTAAAAAAAATTTGTCAAAATTTAGTGTACCATCACCCTTAATCAACCCTTTGAAATGCCTCAAGCGAATTCAATTTGCTACCAATTAATACCCTCGGTAAGGCAGGGAAAGGGGGTTACGGGCAACGAGGAAGGGAGGAATATTTCAGAAGGGTGGGGTACTCAGTGAAAGCGGTAGATGATAGAAGGAGGGAAGGGATTGAGATGTGGAAAGAGCTGGAGAGCAGGGATAGAGATGTACAGAGGCAAGAAAGAAGGGGGCAGATAAGGGAGAGCAGGTACAACCCTAAGTACGAGGAAATAATAACGGAGGGATTGCCGAAGTACCTGTCGGTGGAGGGGGATGAGGAGGGGAAGAGGATGGTGGCAAGATTCAGATGCGGCAATGAGGAGAGAGCGAATAGGTATTGGATGAGAGATGATGAGAGGGGTTGTAGGCTATGTGGGGGGGAGTGGGAGTCGTTGGAGCACCTACTGAGGGAGTGTGACGAGCTAAGAGAGAAGGTGATCGGCTGGAAGCAGGTGCTGGGGGAGAGGGCAGAGGGAAGAGAATGGATGAGGGAGGTGGTGGCGACAAGGCAGCGTAGGGTGATGCGGGGAGGAGATAGGGAGGGGTGGGATAGGAAATAAAATGTATTGTATTGTAATGTGATATATGTAATTGTAGTATTGTTAAAATTTAATTGTTTGTGGAATGAATGCTGATTTTGTAGCAATAAACTTAATTAATTAATACCCTCGGTACACCCATAACGTATACCAAATTTGGTTTTTCTAGTTTAATGTATTATGAAGATATTGAACCTTTTAAAAATGTAAGAGCCAACTTTGAAGGCCTATAACTCTTCAGGTGTACAACTTAGTATAGAGGTAAGTTACGTTAAATCATCTTAATTTATTGTCCTCTACATGTCCTTGCTCTGTGTCGGTTCTTATGTGAATCATCTTTTATATTTCATTTTAGACAATTATTTTTTGAGGCCGTAATAAAGCCGGATTTATATTTGTTTGACGTGTCGTGTTGTGACGCGTCAGAACGGTATCGGTTGAATACATTTACTATGGTGAGATTCATATTTATGTGTCGCAATGTGTTGTGTCGCATCAGCAGCGATCCCGATGTCCGACAGAGCAGTGGAGTGGGAAGTGACGCATAACGACAGATCAGACAAGTGTACACCTGTCAGATTTGCGTTTCTTCTTTCTTTCAATATTAAATTTAATTACATTTAACATTATCAGCATCGCTCTCAAGCTCTTTAACCAGGCCGTGAAATTCTCCTTTAGCTTCTCTCTTTCTGTTCACTGGATGAACCCAATATCTTCTCTCTTTTCCTTTTTTTTAGAAGAGTTGCCAGTACCATAAAATGAATATCTTCTTCATAATTTGAATCAGAAGATTCATGGGAAAACATTATAGACCCACGTAGGAACTCTCTGAGTGCTACGATTGTATTGATCCAAAATATCGTCAGAGTACGTCAGAACACAACATATAAATGTGAACACTAACCATTACGTCAGAGCGCATTACGACACAACACGTCAGACAAATATAAATCCAGTTTAAGTCATAAATATCAGATATTATATTTTTCATATAGTTCCCAATACAATATATAAAATCTCTTGTTGCAGTTTCGTCTAGTTTTCTTCTCTTCGCTTGTAATCATCATCACATTCATTACCTACTAACAGAACTGTCGCTGTTATCACTTGCGATTATTAATTAAAGTATCCTCTTTTTAATGCAAAAAGCCGTTTTGAAAAATCACTTTCAGTTCATGAGAAATAAATTTTTGAAATGATCGACAATTTTTTCGAATGCTGCAATTTTCGCCGATTAAGTTTTAAAAATTCGTATAAAATCCAGTTCTTGGAATATGAGTATGAAAATTTCCCAAAGTGTTACTAAGAGTGTTCTCTTTCCAATGAAGCAACCCGTTTTGAAAAATAAGTGTTAGTTTTTGAGAAAACAATATTTGAAGTTTTGATAAAATTTTGGATGTTGTAATTTTCATCGATAACTTACAAAATTCGCTATAAAATTCATTTCTTGAAGGATCCTGGAAATATCGCCAATTATTAATTAAAGTGTCCTCTTTTTAAAGTTGCTTCGTAAGTTAAATCAGCATTAAAAAAGTTCATTTTGTATCTTGGATCCAAATAAGTTGACACCTCTTATTAGCTTTTTTATTAATTTCACTTTTGTTCAAAAATGCACCAGAAATTACCATAATGGCCGGATAGATATGCCGGATAATCGGATATTCGGCCGAAGGCGATGCCGCCGAATATCCGGTTTTTCGCAAAATCACTATCCGTGCATCACTATTGTGGAACAACAGTAGACAATAACCGAGAAAAACCTTTATTATCTACCAGCGAATACGATTGATTATCTAAGCAGATCATCTTAGTTATTTTGACAGTAATTTTTTTAGCTCGTGGATCGTTTATACCCCAAGATTTATTTGTTGTTAGGTATTGTTGTATAGTTGGTTGTTGCATATTAGTCTTTAGTTTTACATTTTCCGTTAACGTTTTCTTAAGTTTCTTATCTTCAGTTTCGTTTTCTTGGTATTTCTTATATTTATCTTCATGGTGTCGTTTTAAATGAAGTAGTGCCAGACTAGTGGAAGTTGCTTTTCCTTTCCCTCCTCTTGATATTACTTGCTTGCACAATTTACAATTAGCTTTTGTTTCATCACTTTCATTAATGTTGAAATATTGCCAAACTTTACTATTTTTAATAGACATTTTCAAGTTTTTGTGTTTCAACTTGCTTTTTTTAACATTAACATCACACCACTATAAATTATTACTAGAGGTTGCAAAGTGTATCATACAGGATTAATTTAATTGTAGGGGAATTTAAATAACACACTTTTTAACATCTTATTAACAAATATATTAAAATATATAAATAAATATACAATTAACAACATAATTATTACAAATAAATACCAAGATTTTTTTTCATTACCTTTTTAATTTTTTTTGTTTGAATTTTTTCAAGATTCATGATTTTTACCCCTTCAAAGATATTCTTTATTATTATACAAGATGATTTAGAGAAACAGGAAGATGTTTAATCTTTATTATTGTTATAAAAAATTATTATGTTACCAAATTTTATTTATTTATGAAATTGTACTCCATAGAAGATGAAATTAAGTCGAGGAATGTAGCAGATAGTGATAATAGTATTAAGAAGGATGATTTACTTGCACAAACAGACATTTAAAAGTTAATTCGCCAAATTGTACCATTAGAACTCAAAATCTTAACATCAGATCTTAGGTAGTGGTGGCCCAGATTGTATGGTTCATTAAAAGTTTAACAGATTCAGCTTCATCTTGTTTTAAAGATTGATAACCACGTTATCAGATAAAACAAAAATAACGACTGTGCGTTAGTTATGTTGGTATTTTACGTGCAAAACGATGCAGATGCCAATCAGAGAGACTTTCAAAGATGTCATCATATTGAACAATTGATCTTGATCTTAAAAACCACATTGTTAATTAATAATTATTTGATATAGACAATAACGAAAAGATTAATAATAATTTTTTCATCACAATAATAAAGATTCCCTTTACTTAAACCATACTGATATATAAACCTCCTTTTAAGTACGAACATGTATAACGCATATTGTATTTAGCAATCATTACATCATCATCATTATTACTATCAAACGTTTTATTCCCAATTGCACCCGAAATTATTATAAATTATTCTATTATAGGTTGGTAGTAATAAAACTTTAATGAAATAACATGACGTGTATGTAATAATTGCTTCAAAATTTAACTAAGTCCATATAAACCCGACTTGATAGTTACATAACCAATGTTTCATTTGAATATCATTTTCTCTGTCATTTTTCTTTAATCAATTAGGTTTTTATGGACTATCATTTTTATTAACATTAATTGGAAGTGTTAAAAAGACATACAGTTAACATCAACATAGACAATAGTTTTTTTTTTAAACGTCTTAAATTCTTTTTTATTTTTGAAAATAGCAAAAGACATCTTTTTAAATGTTATCTTTTCAATAAAATTTTTATTCACACTTTCTTTTATCATTCGACAGAGAGCATTTTCAACATTGATAGTTTTTCCAGATTATGTTATCAACTTAAAGAGTATGAGAGAAACTTTCTTATTGCTTAAAAACTTTGATAATAACGACAATAAGAAAACAACAACAAAAAGATATTCAAAGAAACTTAACCTAACAAAAAATAAACAATAAAAAAAAATTACATTTACAAAATACAAATATCACAAAATCAGCACTCGGAGTCACTCTTTATCATTTCTTATTCCACAAATCCTTCCTTTTAATATTTTTTTAACACCCTTTTTTTTCTCCAAATATAGATTTACGATCTTTCTGGACAACTAGTATGTATAATCCTACCTTTATTATTACCACCTCCAAGAGCTGTATGAACAACAATACTTGGTTGACCAGGTGAAGGAGGATGAAGTTCGTGAGAAGATCCAGGTGTTAAATTAGCTAAGGCTGCTAATAGATCATGATTAATGATTGGTTCCCCTTCTGGTCTTGGTTCCCAATCTAATGGAGGCGACGCTGGGGGTGAAATCAGGAACTGTTTGAACGGAGCTGGTGGTTGTAAACTGCTATTTTTTACAGGTGTTACAGGTTGCGCGAAATAACACGTTATCACCGACTCGTTTATTTTGTACTGATGTAATTGAACTCTGGCGCTTGCTGCAGCTAAAGGCGTTTCAAAGTTGACCCGAACACGTCGAAAACTACGTAACCATTGAAACGTTACTTTAGGATCGAAAACGCGAAATAATTCTTCTACTTCTTCTTTTTTCTCTATTACATACAAAAAAAAAACAAATTAATTTATTAATTTCAATTCATTTTTTAGGTTATAATTGTTGTTCTAACCCGCATTTGTGAACACAGTATCGTGAATGTTAGTAACGATCAACGAGGATGGTAAATCATCGAATTCATCGTCGGTTTCGTGCGGACTATCAGGATCCGTTTCCGGCATTAAATTAGGATGAACGTTGGGCAAACCGTCTTGGTCGTTGATAATTATGTTCTCGTCGCTTAATTCTCCGTTGCTGTCCGACATTGTGGATAACTAAAAAAGGATGTTTAAATAGGAAAAAGGATTTTTAATGTTGTGGTTAAAACATACCTTCAAAAAAACGATATATCTTTCGATTGAAACGAAACCAGCGGCTGATTTAACATTTGTTTGTTAAATGTCAAATGTCACGTTTGACAGTTGACAATTATTTGGGTTAAAGAACGTATCCTAAGTGAGTAAAAAAATTAAAAATTATTGTTATTAATAAATAATTAGGATTTTATTATTAAGTTAAATTAAATTATTTTTATTTTTTAGGGATAAATTAATTTAAATTCTTCTAAAACAAAAATTAATGAATTAGGATGGAGATAAAGTCAAGCAAAATTTTTAAATATCATTATTAATAACAATAATTAATGAAAATAAGACTTCATTTAATCCAATTTGACCTATTTTATGTTTCACCGACATCACATTGATTATTTTTTAATTATTATGTTATTAAAAATTATTTCAGCGCCATCTTTCGGGATTACACTAATTTGGAACTTTTAAATTTATTTTAATTTTATCTAGAAATCTTTTCGGAAAATCATAAATGTGGTAATTTAATGAAAAATATTTGAATTAAAACAAATCTTTGTAAAAAATATACAATATTTTATATGATATATAAAATCTTATAAAATTAATGCGATTATACCGCCATCTATTGGGATAAAATCAAAATGTCAAAAAAAAATGTCTTAATTTTATTACAAAAAAACTTGAAAAAAGTAACAATTTAAACCAAAATTTTCAATTAAAACCTGATTAATATCTAAATTTACTTATTTTTAGGTACTTAAACCGGAAGTCTATACAATTTTTTGCCTCCTTTTGGTGGTGGTTGAGCTCGGATTGATTGGCCGGGTTCTTGAAGAATTAATTCTTCTTCGGGTTCATCACAAACACCACCAGCTTCGTAAGTATATTCCTTTCGAGTATTAGCGGCTGATTTAACATTTATTTGTTAAATGTCAAATGTCACGTTTGACAGTTGACAATTATTTGGGTTAAAGAACGTATACTAAGTGAGTAAAAAAAATTAAAAATTATTGTTATTAATAAATAATTAGGATTTTATTATTAAGTTAAATTAAATCATTTTTATTTTTTTAGGAATAAATTAACGTTAGATTCTTCTAAAAGAAAAATGAATGAATTACGATAAAGATAAAGTCAAGGAAAATCTTTAAATGGCATTTTTAATAACAATAATTAATGAAAATAAGACTTCATTTAATCCAATTTGACCTATTTTATGTTTCACCGACATCACATTGATTATTTTTTAATTATTATTGTTATTAAAAATTATTTCAGCGCCATCTTTCGGGATTGCACTAATTTAGAACTTTTAAATTTATTTTAATTTTATCCAGAAATCTTTCCAAAAAAATCAGAAATGTGGTAATTTAATGAAAAATGTTTAAATTAAAACTAATCTTTGTTTTAGGAACCTTATCTAAAAAAATAAAACGATTATACCGCCATCTATTGGGATAAAAACAAAATCAAAATGTCAAAAAAAAATTTCTTAATTTTATTACAAAAAAACTTTAAAAAAGTAACAATTTAAATCAAAATTTTCAATTAAAACCTGATTAATATCTAAATTTACTTATTTTTAGGTACTTAAACCGGAAGTCTATACAATTTTTTGCCTCCTTTTGGTGGTGGTTGAGCTCGGATTGGTTGGCCGGGTTCTTGAAGAATTAATTCTTCTTCGGGTTCATCACAAACACCGCCAGCTTCGTAAGTATATTCCCTTCGAGTACCTTCAGGATCTGTGTAACCGTATTTTCCTCTTACGATACAATCAATTCCTATCGTTTCCTCTTTAAAAGTTCCATCCTCGTTTTCATATCCCCACGTGATACTTCCATCTTCGTTATCAGTTCTATATTTTCTTAAAATTTGAACTGGAGGTTTACGATTTTTGTTTCTTTTAGGATCTTCATCTTCGTATTGAACTTGTTGGCGAACCGGAAGTGGTTGTGCCCGAACGGGAGCTCGATATTCTTGAGTAATGGAAGGTCTGATGGGTTGGGGTCTCCTTATTGGGATATTTTCTTCTTCGTCCCTTGATTCCTGTCTAATTTGTTGTCTAACGTTTACTATACTTTCTCTGAAAAGTGGCGCTTGCCTCGTTGGTGTCGCCGGTCTTTGTTGAGCGATTTGAACCGGGCGTTGTTGAGGAAGAGGAGCAGGGCGAGATGGAGCTCGGATATCTTCACGCGAAACCGGAACCGGTCTTTCCGGTCTAAAAGCAACAGCCCTTTGCGGTTCCTCCTCTTCTTCTTCTTCCGCTGAACTCACCGCTTGACCAATTCCTGATTGCAAAGAACTTAACCCTAATTTGGCTACTTCAGCTTCAAACGTTGAGCTGAAAGGTTGTGGGATATCCTCGGATTCTTCAATTACAGGGCGAGTTTCGCGGGTTGGAGATGGAATGGCGTTGAAACTCGTTTTCCTTCTTATGGGGATATCTTGGAATGTTTGTTGAGATGGACGCGGTCTTGATTGAACAGGTCTCGATTGCTGGGATGTTACTAAAACTGCTCCGGGGATTGCTAAACGTGGTGGAACTTGAGCGGTTGTTTTATAAAGGATCTTAAAAAAAATTATAATAATTAATTATTATATAAAAGAAGTTCTTTATTAAAAAATGTGATGTAATAACTGCTTTGAATCTGACTTAATTTCGATTTCATAACGCTTTTTACGTAACGTAAATGAACCAAATTATGATCTTCATTGCCTCATGTGTTATTTATTTCTTTTTCAGAAACCGGATTGGTTTTAAAATCGAAAGTGTCCCAACGGTTGTTCGAATGAACAGCTTTTGGCGGTGAGTTGGTTCATTTTTTTGCTTTATACTCGGCTTTCTGACCTCATTCTCAGTTGGTATACAAAAGAGAAGAAAGTCTTTTTGTCAAGGGAGAAGGATTAATGATAAAAACTAGATTGTGCAATCGCACAAAATAAAACAATTTTGTGATTTTCCAACACAAAATGATTGAAATGCAGTTATTTAACCTTCCCCGGTGCAATAAACCGTATAAATAGTATAAAACGACTCATAATTGAGTAGCAAAAAATTTAAGGCGCAGCCTAAGACCTACATTAAACCAGGTTTGCAATTACTTTTTCAATGCCATCGAGTTTAATCGACCTTTGAATTATATATCAAGAACAAAAAAAAACATATTATGTTCTAATCTTAAAATAATTTAATTTATATATAACAAAAATTAAAGTAGGTAACTTACGGTGATAAAACAGAGAAAGAAAAATGACAGCCTCATCTTATAACCACTAAGAAGAAGAAAATAAACCTTTTAAATATTTTCTCACACCAACATTACAACAACTAAACCGTATCAGATCGCGGTATTTGTCTTTATACTTGATCAAAACCCCACCCTAAATTCCAAACCCATGCTTTAAATCCCAATAACTTTCACCCCGAAAAATTGCAAAGAAAATTAACTCATTCTCAATTAAAAAATTTAATTTACCACATCTTAATAAGCTCATTAAAATCAATATGTAATAATTAAGTAATTAAATAAAATGATTGACCTTTTAATTCAAAAATCGTTAGTAAATATGGGATTGGTCCCTTGATATTTAATAACCTCATAAAAACAATGTTTTAAAAGATGAAATAATCGTCGTCGAACCTTTTATTATTACGACATCGAGACTTTTTCGCGATAAAGTTTTTATGAATACAAAAGAAAGCATTTAACAGACACCAAAGAAACGGTTATTTAATTTCAAGACATTGTCTCAGGATTAAAATCACTTTCACTGTGGCTTAGTACGGTTCCAAATCACGTATAGAAATTTACGTGGAATAAATAAATTTGATTAATAGATATAAATCGAATTTGGAAAAGAAAGAATCATGATGAAATTACGTTTCTAAAAATTTTAATGTTTATTAAGTTTTCATTTTATAAAATAATAAATTCCTATTCAAGGTATAAATTATTATAGGTTTTTGTAATTTTGTATTTTTAGCCATAAATTATACCGCGCGCAATGGAATTTCCATTTCGATAGATATTCATTACCTGATAGAAGAAAACAGGAACTGGTTTAGTTCGATTAAGGCGTGTATAAAGGTGGAATTTGAATATCTTTATCCTTGAGGTAATAATTTGTTTATAATTTTGCGTTTAAAATTTAATATATATCCTTTTAGGTACAAATATAAATAGTAATTTGGAGGCCAAACCAGATCATCCTTAAAGAAAAGAAGTTGAAGAGTAAGAAGAGATTTCTTAGATATAGCGGTACGTTTAATATTGTTTTCTTATATTATTATCACTAGATAATCCTCTCTGACAGCTTGTTTAGCTGCAGAGAATAACATAACATAACAAAGGTTTTTTTGAAATATTGGGAAGTAATCATTGAAGACTTTACTGCCCATCATCACGCAGGGAGTGTCTACTTGAAATATGAAATTCCAATAAATCACAGTTATCAGTAGAGTTTATGAATGGGCCAGCAATCCTCACCACTATGGCTGTGATCTTATTGTTAGTACGTCTTTGGGTCTCCTCATTGCGCACTCACCTCTGAAACTGATCCCCAGCTATGTCCTTTCCATGGCTCTTTGGTTTGGTGGGTTCCAGGTCACAGAGACATTGAGGGCAATAAGAAGGCGGAAAAGCTGGCCAAAGAAGCAACGAATACGCCCTTCATTGGATTCTAACCCGGTTGTGGATTACAAAAAAAGCCATCTAAAACAAGTCTATCTATCACAAGGCCTCGAAGGTAGCCTTACATTGGAAAAAACATCCAGGTCACAGAGAAGCGAAGAGTATGATAACTCCCTCGCAAAACAAAACCAAACAGGTTTTATGCATCAGCAAACATTGAAAACCTTAGAGAGACTGTGCAATCGTTACATAAGGGATATCTGTCTTGTCGATAGACCATTAAGCGGCAAGGACAGTAAAATCTAACAGGACTGCTACATCCATTGTTGTGACAACCTACCCGCCAACTACGTCACACCATTTTCCACGACCAGCTGTTATTATGGTCTATGGGTTTGCTGTGTATTTTTAAAGGTTATATCCTAGACGTATTCATATTATTTTTGAAGTTTTATGTTTTTAGACGTATTAATTTCTATCATATAACCTCTAAAAACACAGACAGTTACCAGGCGTGGCAAATAGTGTGAAGTAGAGTGCGGGCAACCAATCCCTAGTGGACTACAAAAATACAATGGATGTAGCAGTCCTGTTAGATTCTACTGTCCTTGGATGGCGCCTTTGATTATATATAATATGGATTGAGCCAACGAGAGAGATAGCTTGCGCAAGGTGATCGAACCGAGATAGACATAGAAGCGTACTGCCATATAATGGGTGTACTGATAGAAGTGAGATAGATATAGAAGCGTACTGACATATAATATATCTATCTTTGTTACACTTTCACATTATCGCTTTCCATCTGCGTCTATTCACCTTGAGCAACATTTTTGTTAGTAGATATATTCAGTTAGCTCAATCCATATTATATATAATCAAAGGATGGCGCCAATATTTCCATCAATACTCAGTGTAACTCAACATTCAAAATTAAATACTTTTATTTAATTGTAACAATAACAAAACATGTCTACAGACTGAAAAAACATATGTTATTTTAGCCAAGATGATTTGAAAACAGGTTTAATTCTTATTTTCTACATTACACTCAGTTCAGTTCAAGCCCACAAGTTCAGAGGCGCGCTGTGAAGAAGTGGTGGAAATGACTGACCGATTAACTGACATTGTTGACGTTCAACATGATGGAGATACTGTTGGTTCATCCAGTTCCCGTGATAATGAACAAGATGCTTTTCGCAATTTCATTGAGCAATACATACTATCTCCATGTTGTCTTGAAGGACATATACAGTGTGTCCTCGGATAGGTGAAACGACTCTTATAAAATGTAAATTTTTTTCGATATTAATTGTCATCTTTTGGGGTTCAGCCCTGCTTGGTTAAAGACTAATTTTGAATATATTTTCAAATTTTAAAAAATAAGTGACTGTTGACACTGAAGCGAAAACTTCTTGTGCATCAGGTAAAGTAAAATGTTACTAAGAGATTGTATTCAGAATGAAAAGTTAGGGCCATATGAAAATTTTCGGAATCATCGACCTACTTTGATAAAACCCATTTTAGGTTATTTTCGTCAATAGTACTTTAAGAAAACAGTTAATCATAGTTAAAAGTTAATCAGTTTCATCATATTATTTTTTGTTAGAGTGAATACTTCCAGCTCTAAGAAATCTTTTGATTAAACGCCAACAACTACTTCTTTTAATTCCAGTATTTGAAAATTTTCCACTAAATAAAGCAATAACCACATTTATCGGTTTTTCCCCGGTTCCATAACACTGAATCACGTAAACTTTTTCCTCTAATGTTAACATTGTATTTAAAAAACACTTTAAATTTACTAAATTACAGTTTGACAGATTAACAGTGACAGGAAAGCAATTTTGTTTTATCCATGGCAGTCTTTGCTAGAATTAAAATTGTTGGATATGGATTTTTTCAAAGTTTGCCGATCAATCCGAAAATTTGCATATGGCCATAATTTTTCATTCTGAACAAAACTTCTTAGTAACACTTTCACGTACTGTAAACAGAAAAGATACTTTACCTGCCACAAAAAGAGTTTTTCTTTCACTGTCAAGGCTCACTTGTTTTTTAAAAATTAAATATATGTTCAAAATTAGTCCTTAATCAAGCAGGGCTAAACCTCAAAAAATGAGAATTAATATCGAAAAAATATTTACCTTTTATAACACACTGTAGAAAGGTTTACTATTACAACTTTGCTGATAGTTGCTGGGGCACATTATGACAGAAAACTTCAAGTCTTCAAAATTTGTTCCTGTGGCCAAGTACCTCAGGGTTAAGGCTAATCTTTCCCTAACACTTATACTTTCTCTCATGTTACTATAATGTCTTTTCAAAAATGATTAAAGGTATTTTCATCCATTCGAAAGTAGTTCTTGAAACCATCAACTTCGCAGAGGCTGATTTCTTTTCACAGCACTAGATGAGAATATTCATCTCTCTTCTTCAACTACTCTTTCATCCGGTGTTTGCGTTTCACTCGAAGAGTAGTTCCAAGCACCAAAATAGATTGATCGTGTAAAGGCCGCTTTAGATTTCAATCAACATACCTACACGTATGTTGTTACTGGTAGTACGCAGGATTCGCATATTTTTCATTTCAGATTAATAGCTTATTTTGAAAATCACTTCTGCAAGCAATGCTTTACGAAGACTAGTGCAGACGTACATAATCCACAAATCCATCCTTCGTTAGGATGAAGACATTTTGTGCTACCAGAAGGATTATTTTGAGTGTGCATTTATCTTATATACAGGGTCATCCACGACGACCGTACATTTGAACTATATAGAGAACCAAATGAAGTGGGGTTTGAACATTTATGGATACGATCTTTTTAACTAAAATATTTTCACTTTCCGATTACTTGTGGTTACACCGAAAGTGGTGTCAAGTCTTTCAAATGGAACATGCTGTATTTTATTACCTTTTTGAAACCTTTGCTAAATTTCAGGCTAATTGTATGTTACATAGCCTATACCTAAGTTGAGTCATATAACATATGAATTCATTTGTGAATTTAATGAAAAATTTGGATCAACTTTATGTAGAATAAATGCCGTGTTAAAACGATTTTTAAGCGGAATCACAAGAAATATCGCTAAGAGGAGCACATTAGATGAACGACGGAAAAACTAAACAGTTTGACATTTGCTAAAGTTTAAAGGCTATAGCTTATTTCTGTTGTTGTGATAACTAGCTTACTTTTTCTAGTGCTCTGTTCGATAATATTAGATTGATGATTAAGTTGAGAAATGAGTCTAAAACCAAGTTTAGACATATGGGCAGGCCTGCTCATGGGGAATATTATAAGACCCTTCGTAATCTTACAACTGCAGCTATAAGAAATGAAAAACGAGCTTATTTTGGTTCTATTGTTGCAACGGGCAATACTAAACAGATGTGGAATAACTTGAAAAATTTTTAATTTAAAGCCAATTAAAAAATTTTGTCTACCTTTAAATTTAAAACATCCTGATCAGATTAATGATTATTTTGTAGGCAGTGTAAATGATATTATTAAAGATTTGCAGACTTCTAACCTTGCTCTGTATAGTTCTCCTATTTATAGTAGTGAGTTTTCATTTAAGACTGTGGAGATCCCTCTGGTTTCTGACGTGATTGCATCTATTACATTTTCTGCTATTAGTACTGATGGAATTTCCATTGAGATGATCAAACTGTGTTGCCCCACCATTTTGCCATATTTGACCCACATACTGAATTGTTGTTTAGTTGACTATGTCTTTCCCTTGGAATGGAAACGCGCAGAGGTTATTCCTCTGCTCAAAAAGGATAAGCCACGAAAGTATAGTGACTTGCGACCAATAAGTATTCTCCCTGTTCTTTCTAAAGTTTTAGTGAAGGTTATGAAGGCTGGAGTATGGTGGAGTATATGGAGACCAATAGTCTGCTCCCTTCAGAACAATCGGGTTTTCGATATGGGTATAGTTGCACAACATCAATGTTAAATCTAACTGATAATATATACAGTGACAACATTATTTTCAGTACAATTAAATCCTTGAGATCCAAGCTATCTAAGAACAATATTATTTGCACCTTTGGTGATAAAAATGCAGGTCTGGCCTTCATGGAAAAAAGTCTATACCTGGAAAAAACATTTGACTTCTTTAGAGAAAATAATTTCTTACATATAAAAAAAGATCCTCTACCTGATTTCATAAAACAATTTAAAGACACATTAAAAAGGACTCAATCTACATTCGAAAAATTCAATTTTCACATCACTAAACTAAACAACATGAACCCATTACACCCTACGTTATACAGTTTGGTTAAGCTCCACAAACCACAAAAAACGATAAGACCCATTGTCAGCGGAATACATTCTCCTTGCAACAAGATGGCTAAAGCTATCCACCACATCTTAACCAAGGCGTTACACTTTAAATCACCTTATTCAATAAGAAATTCAACAGAATTGATCGCTAGACTGAAGGATATTGAAATTAATCATAATTCTTTTTTAGTCTCGTTTGACATAAAAAACTTATATGCTAACATCCCTGTAGCAGATACTTTGAATATAATAGAAAATTTCCTTTTACATAACATCAGTCACTCTAATAATTTTAATTTTTTCGATGTATCGAACCTAATGGACGCCTTACATAATATTACCAAACAAAACTTTTTCATTTTCGATGAGAAAATTTATTGTATGCCAGACGGTTTACCTATGGGTTCACCACTATCTGGTCTCCTAGCTGAATTCTATGTTGACCATCTAGAAAAAGTTATACTTAAACAGAAAGAACACCATTTCTCAACAAAACATATACAATTTTATGCTAGATACGTGGACGACATCCTGATTGTATTTGATGGTTCAAAGGCCAATTTGATTGCCCTACTAAACCTATTCAACAATGTAAGAGCTATTGAATTTACAATTGAAAGAGAAAATAATGGCCAAATTAACTTCCTCGATGTAAACATCTCAAGAGATTCTATTAATAAATGCCTTAATTACAAAATTTATAGAAAACCTACCTCCACAGATGCAATAATTCCTAAAAAATCTTTCTGTCCGTTTAAATACAAATATGCTTCCTTCAATTTCCTATTTCTCAGAGCCTTAAAAACTCCTATGAGTACAAAAGATTTCAATAACGAAATTCTCACCATTATAAATATCGGTTTAAACAACGGTTTCAAATTGGAAGACTTACAACGAACCTTTTATAAAATCCATAACAATTTAATCACTTCCAAACTGTATCCTCACCGAACAGCTCCAAACAGGTTCATTTCTGTCTCCAAATACAATCCTATAATTAATTCACTACAGAGAGTCGTGTCCACCTATAATTTTAGTATTACTCCTAAAAACAACAACAAAATTTCTAACTTTCTAGTTAATTGTAAACATAAATTCGAAAAACTACAACTTAATGGTGTGTATAA